CCTAGGTATCGGTACCTGAGCTCTCTAGATGCCAGGTACCAGTAACTAGAGCTCAAATTTTTCCCAAACTCTCCAAAATCCAACTTTTATCCTAATAACTCATTCAACACCCATTACATTCAATTTGTTTGACAAAATAACAATGTCCAAGAGTGTCCCATTACATTCCTTTGTCAAAATATAACTTTTGTACATGATTTCTACAAGGCCAAAACAAAATTACATAAGTGATTACAAAATGTAATTTAAGAGCCATAATCTGGCTCGGCCATCAACATGAGCCCAAGTGAGGGTCGTCCGCTAAAACTTGTCCAATACTAGAAAATATATCCCCATAAAGGGTGTGTCACCCTCAATAGGGTATCTCCTAGGGAGGCTACTCCCCAACCTAGACACATATGAAATGTCACATACAATTCATCACATCAAGTATCCATTCAAATGCATACATGTCATAAATGAGTGCTACTATTTCATAACATATCATGAGATGAAACTCACGCATGCAATGTAACCCGAGCCCTCCACCGGCTCCCATAACACATGTCATGACATGCGTATACATCCAAGCATTCCAAGCCACCGCCATTGATGTTAGACATCCAATGACCATTTTCTAAAATCTTTTGTCTTTTTTGGGGTGGATATTTATGGACTTCCACTAACAATCACCCAACCGACACGACATCTATGGACTTCCGCCAACGGTTTTGCGTACACGGACACACTTTATGGACTCAATACCAATGAGAATGTTTTTCATCAAACTCAAATCATACAATAATTGGTTTTAAGACATTCTCATACCCATTTTCCATATTTTAGCAACACTAGGTATGTGTTATACATGAGAATTCATCTCTAACACCCTACCCATTTCATATTTCAACCATATGTTGGAAATAAACCTAATTAGGAAATGAACCCTACCTCTTGTAGCGTATACACATGTAGAAAAAGCCCCAAAGACCCCAAATCAAGCTTCCAAAGCTTTATCCCGAAATTCTCATCCTTAGGATTTTGAAGAAAACCACAATCATTGGTATGGATGTGTAGCTTTCCTCACGTAGGACAACTTTAATTCTTGGCTTGAAACAATTCAATGGTTAGATCATCGTAGCTTTGAGGAAGAATGTGAGAGAACTTTGAATTTCTCTCTTTTGTAGAAATTGGCTGAAGAATAGGAAAAATATATAATTTTCTTCCCCTCTTATACTCCTCAACACTTAGCCCTCATTGCGCCACACGTTCCATTTCATTTGGTCTAATTTTATCTCGAATCAATAAAATCTCGACCCGTGTTAACTTTAGTGTATTTTTATTGAACTAACATTAAATTATTTCCTAAATTTCGAGAATAAAATTTGATCACGTTTATTTTAGTCACGCGACGTCCAATCACATCGTAAGATGAAAAAAATCTGTCTCAAAATTCGATAAAAAATGACTAGGTAACTAGATTTTGCAATACGAATACAACAGAGAGGTCCGTCTCGTCATCCGAGTTCTAGAAAATTTTGATTTTTCAACCCATATCGTAATGGCTAATTATTGTTTTACCATTTTAATAAAATTTTAATTTTCCTAGGTTTTACACTTCATTCTCTGAGGCTTGGTGTAGCTTCACTTGGACCTCCCTGTCGCACAGTTCATCTAGGCCTCGAGCGATTATGGGCATGCCAAAAATCCTCTGTATGCACATACTAATGCATTTTTTCACCTACAAGTTCTTCTACTCCAAGTTGTTAGGATGGAAAGAATCAATAGCCGTAGCCTTTGGATCTAAGGAATCAAGGTTGTGGTGGAAGTTCTCAATGTTGAAAGATAGATTTCTCTCTTCAAAATACTCTCTCAATGCTTGACCTAAATGTGGGAATGGCTCTACTTATTTATAGGTCTGAAATAAGGGTAGTCTTAGTAAATAAGCAAATTCAGATTTGTGAATGACCGCTCGATCGATGGGAGAACAGTCATAGGACCGTTGACACTAGAGTGAAAAATAATGTCTCAAACTAGCCAAGGACCAGAACTGCTCAAGCGACCATGGGCACCGCTCGAGCGACCATGGGATCGCTCGAGCGAGCTCATAAACTAAGCCTAGTGCTAATCCCCCATTGCTTTTTTTGTTTTTATCCTAAGTCATCAAGAGACCACTCTAGCAAAGGCTAGCGAGTATAAAGCAGTCCCTATAGGTTTTTTAAGCCTTAAACCATACAAAAACTTGACATCTTGAGCATTAAAGGGTATTTCTCAAATAAAGGTTCGATTGTGACTCAAACTATGTTTTTTAAACACAAAAATAGTTTAGAAAAACTTTTTTTTTGAAAATCACCTAAGAGTCATAAATCAAATCGCTTTCAATTTTATTTTCATCCTAATTATCCTAAGTTAAAATAACTAAGGGTTCATTTTAGGTGTTTAGGTCATTATTTTTGTCCTAAATATGAAGGTGTATACAGAGGTTGAATGATGTGATTGTTATGCTTGATCTCCTCCCTTCAATGACACTTTCGAATTTTGAACTTGATAGCAGCATGACCATAGAAATTGTTGAGATTTTACGATGGACTCTACCAAATTAACAAATTACAAAACATGATCTAAAATAATTAATTCTTATTTTAATTATTACTAAACTTAATTATTGATATATTCTACCCCTCTCTTAGTAATTAATCCCTCATTTTTTTAAGTAGCTCTTCAGCTTCTTTAGACACTTCCTCTGTTATTTATAGTGGAGTTTTATTGTAAGATTATCAATCTTGAGTATTCACACATCTAAATATATTATAGATTTATTATATATTTTTTAAAGAGATTGATTAAATTGTAAACTATTATTTGTATTGTAATATTATGAAAAAAAAATCAAATATGACACATGTTTGACAGTAAAATCCAATCGGACAACTATATTTATATAATAATAGAATATAAGTTGGACTTTACTTTTTTATATAAATAGACATAGACATAAAAAAAACTATATGTAAGTGTACTAGTAATAAATAAGTTAAAAAGAATTTAGAAGTTAAATTCTACAAAAAAAAAAAGTTCAAAAGAACTTAGAAGCCAAATAGATATTAAAAAAATAAAAATTGGATGAAAGTAAATGTATGGGTAGAATTAACTTTACAATATTAATTAGGGATAAATTAGAAATTAAAAGTTTTTCAATTCACTTATTTGTTAATAGAAATAGGTATTTTACTTTAGTCAAAAAATGTAAAGGGCTTGTGAGTTTAATTTTAAATGTCGAGGTAAACTGATTTTTGGCCAAAGCACAAGTGGTAAATTTAATTATCCCCAATCGTTTTTGTCCATCAGATTTCCTATTGCTTGCGCATCTATCTGATTGGAATTTGCTTTGAAATAAGGAATTTTTAGACATATATAATTGAAGATGCATGTAACCCATAATTTCGGATAATAGAAACTATGTCTATTAATGAAAAAGACGTGATTGTTTAAATAACCAAAAACCAAAAACTGGAGTAATATTACAAAAATAATTTCCTCTAAATGTTTTCATTTTCTTCCTTAATCATATAACGCTTTAATTTTGTTACTCAATCGTTTCCATTTTTTAGTTGATTGAAACATGCCTCCGGAGCTAAACTTTGAACCATGTGTGGGGACTCTGGAGTCTGGGCATGGGACTGTTTCTTGCCTGGCAATCTATACACTACAATCCACCTTGAAGTGGAAGTTCGTTTGGTTTGTCATATAGTAAAAGAATTGATTGAATTAAATTTTGTATAAATAAATAAAACACAAGATTAAATATGAAATAAAATTAATATTCATTGTAATCCAAGATTTGGTAAGACACTGAATAAAGGTAAGATGATAGAACCTTAATTACATATTGACCAAAAAATTTTTAATCTTGACTAGTTATTAATGTTTTTATTTATTTGGTTGGTGGAATATAAACTTTATAACTTAATACACTTAATCTAGACTATAATACCACCTCCCTAGGTGGTATTATAATTTTTTTTTTTTTTTTTGGGGGAAAGGGGAAGGGAAACTTAAACCCTTGACCTCAAGGCAAAGCCATAAACAAAACAAGGAGTATCATTCGACAAAAGGCTCATTGATAGGTGGTATTATAATAGGCTCAATAGTATGGATAATGTATTATTTAAATAAGCATTTAAAATAAAACTATATATAGTACAAAATATTTTTTACAACCAAATACAATATAAAGTTAGATTAGAGTTTTAATTTATTATGACTCTTTAATACACCCCTTAATAATACAACCAAGCAACCCCTGGTGTTTAAGATTTGCTGCATAAGCCATTAGTCAAACTCCTAATTGTAATGCTGCTAACTAAAAATAAAATTGAAGTAATACATATTGTTGCAAATAGTATTCTCATCAGGATCATATAGAACTTTAGGATGCAAAAATTCCATAAGCTAACTCGAAACATTGTACTAGGATAAACCAGTTGAACCAATACTTGACAGATATAAGACTTTCTTTTATCAAATAATGTTTGACCCTTGATGTCTCCTTCATCCCCTCTTGAAGAGGCCACAAATTTTATTTACATTTGAAGGCTATGACTGATGTGACAATGTAAAAGGGCATTACTTCTTTTTTGACAATGGACACACCAAATGCAACGTCTGCACAGTGGGAAGTTCTAAGATCAATGCTGGAAAACACTTTTGCAGTTTCCTATACTGCCTTGATAATCCATTTGAAGATTCAACCCAAAACTTCAAGCTCGAAGAAATGCATTTAGTGTGCAGCAATGTATTGCCCCACTTCACAGGACACCATGATGTTCAGAAACAAGTAATAAGCCATCCAACTGTACTATGATGATGTTATGTTCTGATCAATAATAGACATAGCTATTGTTGTCCCCACTAACACGCTTCAACATTTCAATCCGCTTAAATTCAGCAATGTCTTGCCCCACTTCACAGGTGAGCACTCAGAATCAAGGAAAAAGCCATCCAACTGTACCACGATGATGTTATGCTCTGATCAATAACTCATAGACATTGCTATTGTTATCCCCATTAACACGCTTCAACATTTCAAAACTTCTACGACTCCCTAAGAAATCCATCCGCTTAAATTCCACGTAGCCACGTGCTGCCGTTTCTTTACTGGAGTACACTGATCGGAGCCGATCAGCATGCCTTGAATCAGTGTGAATTGCTATCTCTATTTCATTAGCCGACATGTTTTCCTGCAACAAAATAAACAAAAAAAACTAGGTAAGAAGACATCTAATATCTGATGGCAGTAATCATGTCAGAATTTGATATCAACATTTGCTGATAATAAACTCCTCATAATTTTGAATGGTGATCATGCATCTCATATCACCTTAAAAAATTTTACTTAATTCCAACATAAGTCATTACCATGCCAATATTGGAACAGTTAAGTACCACGGTATGGTGGCTTTTCAAACACTAGAACTCTCAGGAGAACAGTTAAAAGATCCTTTCTTAAAAAAGGAGGAAAAACGTCTAACAGATACAGCCATTGCAATAAAACTATTGATTGATTGGTGGAAGTGATGAATCAAGGAAGGAAACTCCAAGTACCTGATAAAACGCATAGATATGATCTAACACCTGCAAACACGTGAAGCCTGTATCACTGAAAAACGTTCTTGAACAGGGGCCCATCTCAGAGAATCTATCAACTGGAAACAGTATTGTCAGAAAGTGATTTTTGAATATCAACTCAGTTTTCTCACTGCAAACAAAGCCAGATAACAACGATTTCAGTGAGGGAAAAGTAAGAGCATGCACTTCCCATAAGATCGGAACTACCGGAAAAAAATTTAATGGATTCAAATTTCAGGATTCTAATGGACCATAGGGACAACACATCATCGAAATGCCAGATTCTACTAGAAGAACTAACATGAGCATAGCTGCAGAACTAAAGTTAACCTGCATACATATAAGGTGATTATCCAAATGTAACTTTTATGGGACTACTCTAGATTTTGCATCTATAAGGTGATTGTCCAAATATAACTTTTATGGGACCACTCTAGATTCTGATGCAAAAATATAAGCCAGAAATGCTGGTTTCTGCACTCTATACTTGAAGTTGGTCATTTAGAGTAAGGCGACACAATTCGTTCCAAGCTACCAATTAAGTGCAAAATCTTAGCTGAAACTGGAAAAGAAGTGTTCAACAACCTTTCTGTAAGCGGTCGGGAGAAATTTACAAAAGAAGCTTCAGATTCCTTCCCATCTCCCTTTGCATCAAAGAATACAGATGTGTGGTGCTCACTAGCATCCTCAGTGCTGAAAGAGTCAGTGTATATAGACGCAGTTGAACTTGGCGCAGATATTGACCAGCAGATTGAATCCAGAAGACTTCTTGGTGTGATTGGACGTATTGGAGTTTGACATGTCTGCAATCGAAAGATTTGCATAAACGTGTCCAAGTTTACACAGGAAAGGATATTGAATTCAACAACCATGACAGTGCTACAAAGTAATCAGCCTTGCAGGACCCAACCAAGGATCGAAATTTCGTTTCGAAGTACCGTTTCGGTCAGCTCAAAAATGAAAACNATAATCTTCCCTGAATGGACAACTTCAAGACGTTCTCAAATCTCCATGCTTTGGCCAATTCAGTGGGCAGATAATCATCAGCAAAAAAGGCTAGCTCGGTGAACTTAGCCACGCCGTTATGGTCCCTTGCTTCAAGTCTAGAAATTCCAAGACTTTCACTTGTCAAAGAGCCAACAAGAAGTACTTGCCTATCAAGAGCTCACAAAAACTCTTCCTAAGTCATTGCCTCAACATTCTTTGAGGCATTTGCCCAACTCCACCATAAAGGGGCTTCTCCCTCAAGTTGGAATGTTGCTAGAATTATCTTAGTGGCATCAGATGTGATCTCCATAGCCTCTAAGATCTTATCAACTTGTTGGAATAAATGGTCGGCCNTTACATAAATATGATGACAATAGTTACTCCAACTCATATTATTATGGTAATATTATCCAATTAATAATATTATTTTATTATAATACTAATAATGAAGGGTATNCATAGCCTCTAAGATCTTATCAACTTGTTGGAATAAATGGTCGGCCAATATCGAATCTGCCCCTCTCATAAAGGTTGGTGGCTTATGTGCCTTGAACCTCTGGAGATTATTCGACCCTCCATGGCCCATGTTGGCACTAGCTTATGCAAAGCTACCAACCATGGCGCCCATGGCCTCCATAAAGGCTTGTTGGTCACAACCTGGTGGTGGTGGTTGGTTGTTCCGACCACCCCCTCGATCGTTGCGATGTCCTCTTCCTCTATTTTCCATCTACACACACGTAAGATAGCAATAGACCATTTAGTATCCCAAAGTTAAGGATCAAAGTTACAAAATTGGAAATTTTTCCTCTGGTCTCACTGNTATAATTACAATGGGTATTAAATGTAATTATTCATAGTGAACCGAATATATCATTGTTTTGTTGAAACAGTACTGTTTCAACCGAAACGGTCCGAAACAGTGCCGTTTCGACCGAAACGGTCCGAAACAATACCGTTTCAACCGAAACACTGGAATTTTGTGATTCAACTACTGTNTCTAACCCTAATGTCACATTCTCATACACATTTAATCATGCATATACCTCATATCATACAACATGTAGCATTTAATGGACATAACATGTAATGCATAATGAATGCAATGGCTTAATCCAATCTACCCTTAAGTCTAAGGTAATCGGGAACCTAAGCTATGATACCAAGTTATGATGCCCCAAAATCCTAGGTTCTTTTCTCAACCTATTAATCACCCATCAACCCATGGAATACATATGGATACCATATAACCCGATACCATGTCGTTACACCCCATTCACCAAAATTATAGCAAAACAAAAATCCGGGCGGAGTCTCCTTTGTACCGGAGCACTACCCAATACATAACCTATTCATACAATAATCATACGACCACTTCAAGGTGCACATCCCAAAATATAGGCTTAATATTCAACCAATTACATCATCCAAATGAAAGGACTCAAGATGTGCAGGCCCGACAAGGTTACATTTAAACTTTCAATTTTTGGGAAAAGGTATCGATACCTGAGCCTTCTGGTTGCCAGGTACCGATACCTAGGCCCTCGACAGAGTGGTATCGGTACCTATGAGCCTAGGTATCGGTACCTGAGCTCTCTAGATGCCAGGTACCAGTAACTAGAGCTCAAATTTTTCCCAAACTCTCCAAAATCCAACTTTTATCCTAATAACTCATTCAACACCCATTACATTCAATTTGTTTGACAAAATAACAATGTCCAAGAGTGTCCCATTACATTCCTTTGTCAAAATATAACTTTTGTACATGATTTCTACAAGGCCAAAACAAAATTACATAAGTGATTACAAAATGTAATTTAAGAGCCATAATCTGGCTCGGCCATCAACATGAGCCCAAGTGAGGGTCGTCCGCTAAAACTTGTCCAATACTAGAAAATATATCCCCATAAAGGGTGTGTCACCCTCAATAGGGTATCTCCTAGGGAGGCTACTCCCCAACCTAGACACATATGAAATGTCACATACAATTCATCACATCAAGTATCCATTCAAATGCATACATGTCATAAATGAGTGCTACTATTTCATAACATATCATGAGATGAAACTCACGCATGCAATGTAACCCGAGCCCTCCACCGGCTCCCATAACACATGTCATGACATGCGTATACATCCAAGCATTCCAAGCCACCGCCATTGATGTTAGACATCCAATGACCATTTTCTAAAATCTTTTGTCTTTTTTGGGGTGGATATTTATGGACTTCCACTAACAATCACCCAACCGACATGGCATCTATGGACTTCCGCCAACGGTTTTGCGTACACGGACACACTTTATGGACTCAATACCAATGAGAATGTTTTTCATCAAACTCAAATCATACAATAATTGGTTTTAAGACATTCTCATACCCATTTTCCATATTTTAGCAACACTAGGTATGTGTTATACATGAGAATTCATCTCTAACACCCTACCCATTTCATATTTCAACCATATGTTGGAAATAAACCTAATTAGGAAATGAACCCTACCTCTTGTAGCGTATACACATGTAGAAAAAGCCCCAAAGACCCCAAATCAAGCTTCCAAAGCTTTATCCCGAAATTCTCATCCTTAGGATTTTGAAGAAAACCACAATCATTGGTATGGATGTGTAGCTTTCCTCACGTAGGACAACTTTAATTCTTGGCTTGAAACAATTCAATGGTTAGATCATCGTAGCTTTGAGGAAGAATGTGAGAGAACTTTGAATTTCTCTCTTTTGTAGAAATTGGCTGAAGAATAGGAAAAATATATAATTTTCTTCCCCTCTTATACTCCTCAACACTTAGCCCTCATTGCGCCACACGTTCCATTTCATTTGGTCTAATTTTATCTCGAATCAATAAAATCTCGACCCGTGTTAACTTTAGTGTATTTTTATTGAACTAACATTAAATTATTTCCTAAATTTCGAGAATAAAATTTGATCACGTTTATTTTAGTCACGCGACGTCCAATCACATCGTAAGATGAAAAAAATCTGTCTCAAAATTCGATAAAAAATGACTAGGTAACTAGATTTTGCAATACGAATACAACAGAGAGGTCCGTCTCGTCATCCGAGTTCTAGAAAATTTTGATTTTTCAACCCATATCGTAATGGCTAATTATTGTTTTACCATTTTAATAAAATTTTAATTTTCCTAGGTTTTACACTTCATTCTCTGAGGCTTGGTGTAGCTTCACTTGGACCTCCCTGTCGCACAGTTCATCTAGGCCTCGAGCGATTATGGGCATGCCAAAAATCCTCTGTATGCACATACTAATGCATTTTTTCACCTACAAGTTCTTCTACTCCAAGTTGTTAGGATGGAAAGAATCAATAGCCGTAGCCTTTGGATCTAAGGAATCAAGGTTGTGGTGGAAGTTCTCAATGTTGAAAGATAGATTTCTCTCTTCAAAATACTCTCTCAATGCTTGACCTAAATGTGGGAATGGCTCTACTTATTTATAGGTCTGAAATAAGGGTAGTCTTAGTAAATAAGCAAATTCAGATTTGTGAATGACCGCTCGATCGATGGGAGAACAGTCATAGGACCGTTGACACTAGAGTGAAAAATAATGTCTCAAACTAGCCAAGGACCAGAACTGCTCAAGCGACCATGGGCACCGCTCGAGCGACCATGGGATCGCTCGAGCGAGCTCATAAACTAAGCCTAGTGCTAATCCCCCATTGCTTTTTTTGTTTTTATCCTAAGTCATCAAGAGACCACTCTAGCAAAGGCTAGCGAGTATAAAGCAGTCCCTATAGGTTTTTTAAGCCTTAAACCATACAAAAACTTGACATCTTGAGCATTAAAGGGTATTTCTCAAATAAAGGTTCGATTGTGACTCAAACTATGTTTTTTAAACACAAAAATAGTTTAGAAAAACTTTTTTTTTGAAAATCACCTAAGAGTCATAAATCAAATCGCTTTCAATTTTATTTTCATCCTAATTATCCTAAGTTAAAATAACTAAGGGTTCATTTTAGGTGTTTAGGTCATTATTTTTGTCCTAAATATGAAGGTGTATACAGAGGTTGAATGATGTGATTGTTATGCTTGATCTCCTCCCTTCAATGACACTTTCGAATTTTGAACTTGATAGCAGCATGACCATAGAAATTGTTGAGATTTTACGATGGACTCTACCAAATTAACAAATTACAAAACATGATCTAAAATAATTAATTCTTATTTTAATTATTACTAAACTTAATTATTGATATATTCTACCCCTCTCTTAGTAATTAATCCCTCATTTTTTTAAGTAGCTCTTCAGCTTCTTTAGACACTTCCTCTGTTATTTATAGTGGAGTTTTATTGTAAGATTATCAATCTTGAGTATTCACACATCTAAATATATTATAGATTTATTATATATTTTTTAAAGAGATTGATTAAATTGTAAACTATTATTTGTATTGTAATATTATGAAAAAAAAATCAAATATGACACATGTTTGACAGTAAAATCCAATCGGACAACTATATTTATATAATAATAGAATATAAGTTGGACTTTACTTTTTTATATAAATAGACATAGACATAAAAAAAACTATATGTAAGTGTACTAGTAATAAATAAGTTAAAAAGAATTTAGAAGTTAAATTCTACAAAAAAAAAAAGTTCAAAAGAACTTAGAAGCCAAATAGATATTAAAAAAATAAAAATTGGATGAAAGTAAATGTATGGGTAGAATTAACTTTACAATATTAATTAGGGATAAATTAGAAATTAAAAGTTTTTCAATTCACTTATTTGTTAATAGAAATAGGTATTTTACTTTAGTCAAAAAATGTAAAGGGCTTGTGAGTTTAATTTTAAATGTCGAGGTAAACTGATTTTTGGCCAAAGCACAAGTGGTAAATTTAATTATCCCCAATCGTTTTTGTCCATCAGATTTCCTATTGCTTGCGCATCTATCTGATTGGAATTTGCTTTGAAATAAGGAATTTTTAGACATATATAATTGAAGATGCATGTAACCCATAATTTCGGATAATAGAAACTATGTCTATTAATGAAAAAGACGTGATTGTTTAAATAACCAAAAACCAAAAACTGGAGTAATATTACAAAAATAATTTCCTCTAAATGTTTTCATTTTCTTCCTTAATCATATAACGCTTTAATTTTGTTACTCAATCGTTTCCATTTTTTAGTTGATTGAAACATGCCTCCGGAGCTAAACTTTGAACCATGTGTGGGGACTCTGGAGTCTGGGCATGGGACTGTTTCTTGCCTGGCAATCTATACACTACAATCCACCTTGAAGTGGAAGTTCGTTTGGTTTGTCATATAGTAAAAGAATTGATTGAATTAAATTTTGTATAAATAAATAAAACACAAGATTAAATATGAAATAAAATTAATATTCATTGTAATCCAAGATTTGGTAAGACACTGAATAAAGGTAAGATGATAGAACCTTAATTACATATTGACCAAAAAATTTTTAATCTTGACTAGTTATTAATGTTTTTATTTATTTGGTTGGTGGAATATAAACTTTATAACTTAATACACTTAATCTAGACTATAATACCACCTCCCTAGGTGGTATTATAATTTTTTTTTTTTTTTTTGGGGGAAAGGGGAAGGGAAACTTAAACCCTTGACCTCAAGGCAAAGCCATAAACAAAACAAGGAGTATCATTCGACAAAAGGCTCATTGATAGGTGGTATTATAATAGGCTCAATAGTATGGATAATGTATTATTTAAATAAGCATTTAAAATAAAACTATATATAGTACAAAATATTTTTTACAACCAAATACAATATAAAGTTAGATTAGAGTTTTAATTTATTATGACTCTTTAATACACCCCTTAATAATACAACCAAGCAACCCCTGGTGTTTAAGATTTGCTGCATAAGCCATTAGTCAAACTCCTAATTGTAATGCTGCTAACTAAAAATAAAATTGAAGTAATACATATTGTTGCAAATAGTATTCTCATCAGGATCATATAGAACTTTAGGATGCAAAAATTCCATAAGCTAACTCGAAACATTGTACTAGGATAAACCAGTTGAACCAATACTTGACAGATATAAGACTTTCTTTTATCAAATAATGTTTGACCCTTGATGTCTCCTTCATCCCCTCTTGAAGAGGCCACAAATTTTATTTACATTTGAAGGCTATGACTGATGTGACAATGTAAAAGGGCATTACTTCTTTTTTGACAATGGACACACCAAATGCAACGTCTGCACAGTGGGAAGTTCTAAGATCAATGCTGGAAAACACTTTTGCAGTTTCCTATACTGCCTTGATAATCCATTTGAAGATTCAACCCAAAACTTCAAGCTCGAAGAAATGCATTTAGTGTGCAGCAATGTATTGCCCCACTTCACAGGACACCATGATGTTCAGAAACAAGTAATAAGCCATCCAACTGTACTATGATGATGTTATGTTCTGATCAATAATAGACATAGCTATTGTTGTCCCCACTAACACGCTTCAACATTTCAATCCGCTTAAATTCAGCAATGTCTTGCCCCACTTCACAGGTGAGCACTCAGAATCAAGGAAAAAGCCATCCAACTGTACCACGATGATGTTATGCTCTGATCAATAACTCATAGACATTGCTATTGTTATCCCCATTAACACGCTTCAACATTTCAAAACTTCTACGACTCCCTAAGAAATCCATCCGCTTAAATTCCACGTAGCCACGTGCTGCCGTTTCTTTACTGGAGTACACTGATCGGAGCCGATCAGCATGCCTTGAATCAGTGTGAATTGCTATCTCTATTTCATTAGCCGACATGTTTTCCTGCAACAAAATAAACAAAAAAAACTAGGTAAGAAGACATCTAATATCTGATGGCAGTAATCATGTCAGAATTTGATATCAACATTTGCTGATAATAAACTCCTCATAATTTTGAATGGTGATCATGCATCTCATATCACCTTAAAAAATTTTACTTAATTCCAACATAAGTCATTACCATGCCAATATTGGAACAGTTAAGTACCACGGTATGGTGGCTTTTCAAACACTAGAACTCTCAGGAGAACAGTTAAAAGATCCTTTCTTAAAAAAGGAGGAAAAACGTCTAACAGATACAGCCATTGCAATAAAACTATTGATTGATTGGTGGAAGTGATGAATCAAGGAAGGAAACTCCAAGTACCTGATAAAACGCATAGATATGATCTAACACCTGCAAACACGTGAAGCCTGTATCACTGAAAAACGTTCTTGAACAGGGGCCCATCTCAGAGAATCTATCAACTGGAAACAGTATTGTCAGAAAGTGATTTTTGAATATCAACTCAGTTTTCTCACTGCAAACAAAGCCAGATAACAACGATTTCAGTGAGGGAAAAGTAAGAGCATGCACTTCCCATAAGATCGGAACTACCGGAAAAAAATTTAATGGATTCAAATTTCAGGATTCTAATGGACCATAGGGACAACACATCATCGAAATGCCAGATTCTACTAGAAGAACTAACATGAGCATAGCTGCAGAACTAAAGTTAACCTGCATACATATAAGGTGATTATCCAAATGTAACTTTTATGGGACTACTCTAGATTTTGCATCTATAAGGTGATTGTCCAAATATAACTTTTATGGGACCACTCTAGATTCTGATGCAAAAATATAAGCCAGAAATGCTGGTTTCTGCACTCTATACTTGAAGTTGGTCATTTAGAGTAAGGCGACACAATTCGTTCCAAGCTACCAATTAAGTGCAAAATCTTAGCTGAAACTGGAAAAGAAGTGTTCAACAACCTTTCTGTAAGCGGTCGGGAGAAATTTACAAAAGAAGCTTCAGATTCCTTCCCATCTCCCTTTGCATCAAAGAATACAGATGTGTGGTGCTCACTAGCATCCTCAGTGCTGAAAGAGTCAGTGTATATAGACGCAGTTGAACTTGGCGCAGATATTGACCAGCAGATTGAATCCAGAAGACTTCTTGGTGTGATTGGACGTATTGGAGTTTGACATGTCTGCAATCGAAAGATTTGCATAAACGTGTCCAAGTTTACACAGGAAAGGATATTGAATTCAACAACCATGACAGTGCTACAAAGTAATCAGCCTTGCAGGACCCAACCAAGGATCGAAATTTCGTTTCGAAGTACCGTTTCGGTCAGCTCAAAAATGAAAACGTTTCGGAAACGCAAAAAAAATATGGAAACGTATAGAAACACAAATACAATCCATTAATTTATAAAGATATGCTAAATAATTGATTAATTCAACATATTTATTGGGTTAACATCTATTTATACAAGAATAAATTTAAATTTGAGGGAAAAAAAGACTTGACATGAGGCGAAAGTCACTTAAATTAGTTTCAAACACTTAATTTTTATGAAATAAACACATTTTTACATAATATTAAGGTCTTATAATACATATGAAATGCTAATGAGTACATACTTACATGGCTACATCCATCCCCCTGTAGAGTGTCGAGCAGGCTCATACATCGGTGTAGGCTCTGGGTAGCTACTTAGAGAAACTCCATATGTTACATAAATATGATGACAATAGTTACTCCAACTCATATTATTATGGTAATATTATCCAATTAATAATATTATTTTATTATAATACTAATAATGAAGGGTATCAAATTAAATTAATGGTACTTATGTATACTTAAAAATTAAATGTAATTGCAGTGGGTATTAAATGTAATTACAATGGGTATTAAATATAATTATATTAGGGTATTAAATGTAATTGTTAATACTTATAACCAAAAAAAAAAAAGCAAAAGACTTGCACAGCAGTGGGATATTAAATATAATTACAGTAAGGTATTAAGTGTAATTATTTATTCTTATAACACAAAAATTATAAAAGACAGAAGAGCAGTGGGAATTAAATGTAATTATAATGGGGTTTTAAATATAATTATAGTGGGTATTAAATATAATTACAATGGGTATTAAATGTAATTATTCATAGTGAACCGAATATATCATTGTTTTGTTGAAACAGTACTGTTTCAACCGAAACGGTCCGAAACAGTGCCGTTTCGACCGAAACGGTCCGAAACAATACCGTTTCAACCGAAACACTGGAATTTTGTGATTCAACTACTGTTTCGTTTCGGAGTGTTGAAATTCCGAAACGTTTCGGACGTGTCGACACGACATTTTGATCCTTGGACCCAACCACATTGACTGTTGTACTTCATACACATTGCAAGCAAGCAGCGAAAAAATGCTCTGCCCTTTTGCTTTCTTGCAACTATTAATGGGAACGTAGATAACCATCTACATAAATCATAACAGAATATACAGAGCCAGGCAAATTTAAACCTCCAAATAAATTGAATTGAATAAATATGACCAGTATCTTACCTGCATACAATAACCTCGGCGCTTCCTAACCCCATTTTTAGCAAGATTCACTATATTTTGCCTTTCTCCATGATTTGCCTTACTTCTGGAACACAGTGCATCTCGTGGATCATTGCCCCCTTTAAGTTCCTAAAAATAATTCAAGGAGAAGGCTCAGCATAGAAACAGAGAACATATCAGTTATTTGACAATCAAAGCGGCAATTTAGAAGTCACTGGAAAAATTTGCCCCACAGAAAGAAAAATATAAACCTAATTAAATTTCAAAAAAATAAAGGTTAGTAAGTTGATACAAAAATGAACTGTTTCTAATACAGGTGTACACAGTTTCCAACTGGGCGTTCATCCCATGACAAATGTTTCCATCTACACTTTGGCTTTCGCCTTTACTTCCGCACTACCCTCTCAAAACTGTAAGATCTGTAAAATTGGCGCAAAAAATTTTCTTATTGTTTTACAAAACTTGCTGTAATTTTGGATACAATCTACTTCCAGTGTGTTTTAGATCTGGCATTGGAAAACAGACACACTCATTCAAATACCTCATTGTTTAATTCTCCACCTTACCAGATCTACTTTCCATTATGCCCTCATTCTCATTTGTATTCCCTCCAGTTGACCATTATCTTTGTTATTATTCATTCACACACCTGATACGTTGTCTTATAAAACAAGAAGCAGCCAATCCACACTTAACCTCTTCATATGAAGAAAGGGCCACATTTAAATCACCTTAAAATTAGTATACCTCCACATAAATGCCATTTTGAGTGCTGTCAAGCATAGTTCCAATTTCTCGAGCCAAATCAGCAGATATGTGAATGACCCTCTGCATACGTGTTTCCTTTGCAGTCTTCAGAACCCATAGTGGCTGAGGCAAACCATATATTGATTAGAAATCATGATGAATTAGTAAGGCCCATTTAGACTAGGTGTGACCGTGTGAGCCTCATGCAAAGAACCGAAAATCATCTTATGGGATAACCATGATGGCGAAAACATCAAACTTTTCTTGTGTTTCCCGTATCTACCCATTCTCCAAAAATCTATATATAGCACTTACAGTAACAAGATAGTCAGAGTGGCCAAGATATTTTTGAACAGAAGGTCCTTCGCACACTACATGACTCACATTGCAACCAACGAACCATTGATCTAACAATGTGGCACCTTCTCCAGCAGCTGCCTCAACAGCCTACAGAAATTCATGTCAATTGCCATTAAAGCATCCACCATATATGCTACTGAATATTGATTACTCAAGAAAAATTAATATATACATCTATCGATATAATAAAACACCTAGCAATTTGAATTTTTATCCCCTACTTATTTTTTCCCACAAAAACATCACATCGCTCAATTCTATCATATACTCAATCATTTAATATTTGATTACTTTATAATTTACCATAATTTTATTTCAGACATTATTCATATACGATAGTATACACACATTGAAAAAAAATTGTCGGATTAAATATTTTGAGAATATTTTGTCGATATTTTTAAGAAAATAGTGGGTAAAAATAAATTTTAAATGATGTAATCAAATAAATAAAAGAAAGAAAAATGATTACTTAATATAATGTGATCAATTTTTTAGACGCTCGAATTTTAAGTTTCATCATGGCTTCAAGCATGGGTTATGACTAGTATATACATATTAGCCGATATGTACAATTATGTATATACACATCTGATGAAGTCACTCAAGGCACCTATTACATTTTAATCCATTGGAATTTAAAAGGCTTAGTCGAGCATTAATGGACACGGGTATTTGTTTCATTGTCTCAAAAGAAAAGTCTTAGGATGTACAGCACATTATACCTCTACAGCATTAAGTGTCTACATGCAAGACTACCACAGAAAGTCAGGTAGTTGATCCAAAAAAAAAAAAAAGTCAGGTAAAGTAAAACAGCAGATTGTGCATATCCTATTTTCATATGAATATGAGACAAAACGGTTATGCTTTAATTGAAGTCAAGTCTACCTTGCTCTGCAGTTCAGCTGAAATTTCTGTATCTACATATAAGGAGTGACCAGAAAGACTTGAACCCATAATCCAAGAATCTTTTTCCAAAGAGCGTAGGCCAGGTCCTTCAATCATGTCAGATTGCTGGGCATGATCAAGCATACTAACACGTATACAAGAATTCCCAATATCAGCATACTGCACACGTCGGTTTGGATCATCTACGGGCAAACCATTTTCTCCTAGACCCTTGACACTATAAAGAGATTCGCTCAATCTCACTGCAAAGAACAAAAGAAACCACGTCTCATTAATTCAACCGGCAAAGTGCATAAATAATTGCTTGTTTCCAGGCAATACAAAATTTTTCGAAGAAGAGATATGGTTTTTAAATTTCAAAAAAGGATAACTTTTTCGTTAGACATCTTTGGCTACAATATATGTAGGCAGCAGGTCATTCAAAAGCACAAACCTACCAGTTCAAAATTTCAACCTAATTACAATGTCTGCCATAAGATTGTACTCATCAACACAGCTTTGGCAGACAATAGACGATAGTAATAGAGAGAAGAATTGATCAATAACAATCCAACTTGCAGCAACTTGTAGAGAGGATATGTGCCACAGAGTTGGACCATGTTAGAAGGTTCAGAAGAACTCCGAATTATGAAGTACAACCCAAGAAGGATGGATAGAAAGCAAGGATAGCAAGGGGCAGACCGCAGAGCATAGTTTTTGAATCCAAATTGGGCACTAGATGCACAAACCAAGATGAAAAAAATTCAAAAAATAGTGGAGTTAAATAATTTTTGGACAGAAATAAGGAATATTATCTTTTTTTCTGCCACTGTGAGGACTCCGTTGTGTGACCCGAAGAGAGAAAATTGAGAGGTTCATATTCATTGCTTCTGCAAGTGCAAATCCTTGGTTGAATTACAACATACCCTCCCATTGTATGGAGATGGACAGAAGGCAAGAGGGGTCTTTGGGATTAGAGGATGCACAGAGTGTTGTGCCGCACTTGAAGGAATGAAATGGGTAGAGAATGAGGGGGTGAAGCAACCATCGATGGAGCCTTCAACTTCGAGTTCGACACTTCGACTTCGAATCTGCGTAGTGCGCAAAGACAGACAGAGAGAGAGAGAGATGACTAAGGAGTGAGTCGTCACTCGATTGACCTCAATGACTCTCTGGCGAGAGGAGAAGAGCTCAAATGATTTAAGGAAAGACATGCCCAAAAGGGCCAAAAACACTACTTTTATAGCATTTTAATTGATCCGCCGGTTTTTTCAAAATTGTCGGGTTGAACGATTTTTTCAAGAACTGCCTGGTTCAGTGGATTCCTTCCGGGTTTTTTGCTTAACCGATCTAATATAAGGACTGGCCCGATTTAGGCTCCAGTTCGCCAGTTTACCGGGTGAACCCGCCGAGCCGGGTTTTAAAACACTGCTGTAGAGAGAGAGAGAGAGAGAGAGAGAGAGAACAGGAGTGCCACGGTATTCCTACAGTCTCCTTGAGAAGGCACAGTCAAGGTTTTCGGTGCCGATTATGCATTCGGAGGAGGACAACAGATATAAATGCTCTAACAGAAAGGCAATATCCAATTCAGAGAATGTGCTCATGATACACAGAATTGCCTAAGTGGTTCTATGTTAAAGTTCCAGGGCATTTATAGTGGTCAATGGGTTAAGGAAATTTGAATCATGTGTAAGAAAGATCCAAATTTGGTATGAGTAGTACAGCCAAGTGGGTCGAGCAATCATGTGAAGCTTCATGTGTAGTAGTGTAGATATTTATATGATAGAGAAGTACTTTGCACACTAAGCATAATACATGTGCCGTGCCTTTCTAGAATCTCTCTCATTCTTCCGGATGGGCCAAAGTAACACGTTGTGAGTGGGGGTGCCCCCTCAGCAAGGATTTGATCCTAGCCACCAATCCAACAACCTTTCGAGTTGACGTGTAAGAGTCACAAAATGGCCACCTGGGCATAGTCAATAACTGTTGTACCTAATTTGCAAGGTATCATTGGGCTCTGATCACGGTCCCAAGTTAGAATTGTATTTGATGGATAGTCATAATCAGTTTAGGGCTGAAATCTTCCTTGTAATAGGGAATGAGGTGATAGACAAACCGCATGCACACTAGCTTACTGCTTAAGATGTACGGTCAGTGAAAAAACAAAACTGTGAAACAGATGCCATGTTGCCTGATAGTAATGGTGATGCAAACAGAAGATTTGAGTTGCATGAGAGTTTCTTCCACAGTAGGAGGCATGAGAATTACGCTTGTACCTGTCAAAAGGTGCTGAGTGCACTTGCCAGGTCAGTATCAATCGTGCCCCATGTCAGTCTGGTATCTTTTGCAAATTCACCTCTTCGAAGAAAGTACAGGAAGTCAATGTATTTCGATTGCTCTATCACTGAGTGTATAAATATGCTTCAAAATCTGCTAATCAAAATCCTATTTATGAAGCCAAATATCTTCAAGATCTTCTACCAAATGACCTCATAAGCAATTAGATTTTAGACCCACTTGTCCAACTATTGGGAACAACAACTGGAAAATAAAAGATTCTACGAGAATCAACATTGACATACTAAACAGAATTTATTCAAGAGCCGATTAAAAAAAAAAAAAAAAAAAAAAGTTATGCAAGAGAACAGCTACTTATCAGAAACTAAACTTACAGTAGTCAGCATCATACAAAAGTCAATTCTTACCATTCCTTCTGGCGCTATCCACGAACCATCCAAGTGTAACAACAAAGAGACCATTTCTTGATCCATGTTTCAGAGCATGCTCAAACTTACGTCCGCGAAAGCTGTAAATAGTGTTAAGAGTTGACACAAGCATGCTTGGAAGGAAGGTAGAATTCTAATGTCAGACAAAACAAAATCCCAATACCTAGTGAAAAACCCTACCAGAGATAGACCTGGTATTAATGGCATAATCCCAATGAAGGGAAAGTTATTGAGAGGAAAATGTGAAAAATTAGATAATCCTACAATCCTGGTCAACAATTGGTGTCTGTTTTCTTTTCCACTGTTTATTCACTTTTGTAAACTGGCCAAAAATGATGAGAAATCACTTTCCTGGGAGATACCGAGGGTAGAATTCATCCAAACTAACAGGGGCAGCTAACCATAGCAACAAAGGAGAGGGAATAGCATCTTCACTCAATATCATATCATCATACATGCCACCATATAAATATATTATCCACTATGCATAAATATAACCAAAGATAAAGGATATCTGAACCACCAAATGCGTACATTGAGGATGTAAATGGGGGCTGTATCGGCCACCCAATCTCTCTGTTGCGTCCATGACTTGTTTCCTTGCTTCTGTTAATCACATCATAAAGCAAACGCATGAATTGTTGCAAATATAGCTATTTCAGTAAGAACAACACCACTTCATGTACTGCTTCAGTGCTTTGGGAGAGGAAGTCGATGAAGCAAGATATCAGATAAATTACTTATGTCAGCAGCAAGTGTTTCAAACTACACAAACTTTGAGTCATATAGGGGGTGTTTGGATTATGGGTTAAAGGGGGTGAACACTCGTTGGATTCGATAAAATTTCGGTGAGTCCCATATATCCCATGTTTGGGAAGTCAAAAATAAGGTTGGATATTTAATTCGGGTTATCCCTAACGTGAAAATGAATAGTAACTATTAGCCTCCTTACTTGGGTTAAATGAAACCCACCTCACAGGTGCGTTAAAAAACCAACCGACCGGATATCTCACTAATTTACTCATTTACCCTTCTTTTTTATCAAAAGCCCTACTCAGTGGCTTGCAGCTTTCAATTCCAAAAGCTCCATATAGACAAAACAAAGACGATGAAATCATCCAAGAAATCATCACAGCGAGGTTTTCCTCAACAAAGACGACATCATCCAAGAAATCATCGTCGACAAAGAAGGCCCTTCTCTCTCTCTCTCTCTCTGCAATTGTATTTATCTGCTCCTTTTTGTTTTTATTTCAAATATTCCCGATGTGTACAATGATGGAGGATCCCACGCTCAAGCCATAGGCACGTCCAATTTATTCGTTTCTCTATCCATTTTCTAAATTATATAATTATTACATGGAGCCACATCAATCTTTCTCTCACCTCTCCCCAATTTCTTGACCACCGACGACTTGGGAAGAAGAGGATCAAACTTCAACGCTTCAATCAACTATTTTTTAGGCAAGTTTGATGGAAAAACTTCACTAATATACTACTTTTTTGTGTTATGCCTTGTTTTTTTTATTTTGGTTGGAATGGGTATTTAGTGTTGATGTGGAATGTTAATAGGTAAAGGAAGGGGTTTGCATAAATTTAGGTAAGGTGGGAAGAGATGTTCTGGTGTTTTGGATGGGATTATAGTGGGTGGGGAAGAGGATTTGCAGACGGGTTGGTATTGAATTGGTGAGATGGAAATACATTATTCGTCCAGAATTGGTTCGTTCTATCTCTCTCTCGCTACTCTTCCATCTTTCACCATATATCCATTAGAAACTAACCAGTCTACAAAGATCATGTTGGAAAAATAGTTTTGAATAAAGTTATTTGGAGCTACTTTGGGCTTAAATAGAAGTGGGACCCACACCTCAAAATTGGTAGAATCATATTTAAACGTGTTCTTCACGAGAAGATTAACGTAGTATATTCACTTGTCCAAAATCATTAAGTATTGAATAAGAAATTATATCTCAAAAATAATTCTCTTGAATGAAAGGAAGAAATTAAGAATAATGTGGTATAGTGTAATAAGCACATTGGAAAGAAACCAAAAACTTGGTGAGTTAATGTACTCCTAGTTGGCTTCTTGGACCCCAAGGTGTACCACAACTTTATTAGCAAAACGAGCACCTACACAAGCTTGGTTACCACACATGCGTGCATACGCAGTCTCGCCTTGTCTCACTACCACCCGACCCGACCCGACCCGAGCTTGAGCTATTTGGTGGGTTGTGGATAAAACCAAACATATTTGAATTCGGATCACTTATTCTTCCAACTAAAATTCAAAATTCATGTCTGTTATTTTTGAATTTGGCACTATTTTGATTAAGTCTGTCACACTCCAGAGATGTTTTTCCCTTTCATTACTATTCGATTAATTGTGTGTCTCTTCAATCTGAATGCCAAAATGAACAATGGTGTCTCGTGCCTCTTCAAGACTCCCTTAAAACCATTTTAAGATACAGAAACATACTGAAATACAGTTCAAAACTTCAACATTCTACATTCATTTTTTCTTCTCTCTCTGCATTCTGCATTCATTTTTCCTTCTCTCTCTACATTATTATTTTGTTCGGTACAAGTACGAAACACTAGTTATGTTCGTTTGTTTTTTGAAATTAAAGTGTTGTTTCTTTAAAAACAAATTATGTTATATCTTGGGAAATAATTGTTGATCAATTTTCAGGATGGAGCAAACCTGTCTTAAGGAAACTGTGGTTTAACACGGCTCGAATTATTATTATTTTCTTATTATTGTTGTTCTGCATTTGTGTAAGTGCAACATTTTTGTTTTGTTTATACATTTTGTTTTATATAATTGTTTTTCATGTGACCGTATACATAATGACTCAGATTTGCTACAATAATTTTATCTAATTCTGATTCCATATTAGATAACAATCTTACGACATATTTCATTTATTAATAAATAGGTTAATTACTGTTATAATCTAAATCAGAATTCTATATTCTGTTATGTTATTACATTACATTATTAAAACCAGAATATTTTCTGGTTACTGTTGTCTAATAGAAATGGCTACAAGTAGTTTTGTTCCTACTACCGTGAGTGTATCTCATGGAGAGAAGTCCAAGAAATTTAAAGGCTCGAATTTCAAACATTGGCAACAAAATATATTTTTCTATCACACCACCTTGAACCTTACAAAGTTTCTAAGTGAAGATGTCACAGTACTTAAAAAAATAAAACTAATACGAAAAAGATGGTTATTGTGGTTGTGGATGCTTTGAAAGTATTCAAATTTTTTGTGTAGAAATTACATCTTGAACTGACTAAACAATGCATTATACAATGTGTACAGTGCTGTCAAATCAGTGAAAGAACTTGGGAGTTTTTGAGCAAGAAATCTAAAACTGAGGATGCTAGTATGAAGAAATTCATTGTTGATAAATTTTTGAATTATAAAATAGTGGATTCAAAAACTATCATAGCCCAAGTTCAAAAATCTCAAGTTATCCTTTATGACATCCATACTGACGATATATCTCTTAGTGAGTTATTCCAAGTAACTGTGATCATGAAAAAATTACCACCACTTTGAAAAAATTTCAAGAACTATCTCAAGCATAAACATAAGGAGATGAAACTTGAAAAATTGATAGTTTGTTTGAGGATTGAGGAAGATAACTGCAAATCTGAGAAGAGAAGTGGAGTCTTTAATCCCATAGAGTCTAAAGTCAATATTGTGGAAAATAGAACAAGGAATAACAAAAAGAGGAAGCATACTAGTGGAGGTCCAAATCAAGGATCTAAGAAGTTTAAAGGCAAGTGCTATAACTATGGCAAAACTAGACATCTCTCTAAAGACTGTAGTAAGCCAAAAAAATTTAAGAAGCCAAATACTCCGGCAAATGTGACTAAAACGGACAAGCTTTCAATAGAAGTCTCCGACATGAACCTTTCAGTAGTTGTCTTTGAATGTAACTTAGTGGACAACTCCAAGGATTGGTGGGTTGACGTCGGCGCTATTCAACACATTTGTTTTAACAAATGGATGTTATCTACTTACAAAAAAATTAGAGAACGGAGAACAACTCTACATGGCAAACTCTTCTACCTCTAAGGTTGAAGGAAATAGCAAAATGATACTTAAGATGACCTCAGGCAAGAAACTTACCTTAGAGGTAGAGGAGTCCATATCTCCACAAAATAATGTTTTTTGGAGGAGTGACGAATACATGGTTACCATTTGCGTTTAATTTTGGAATATTTTGATGTAAATACACCCCATATTTTGTTGATTACTCTGTATAAAGTTGTTGATAATGATAATAATATATATTAAGGGGTATTTTATTAAGTGTGATGTGGGGATTAGTTAATATTTGTAGGCGAAATTTGGAATCCAAACAAAGGCTTGGATTGGATATGTCTATGAATAGATTAGTAAAAATATACAAAATCAATGACCTAATCCATGGGTCCTAGACTCCTACGAAATTGCAAAGCTACTAACCAAAAAAAAAAGGTTGGACCGATCAAATATATCTCATCTAATGCAAGTGACTGATTGGGTTAGGGTTAGATGGGTTAGGATATAAAAATGAAATCCAATCCAATCCTAACCAGTCATCTAAACACCACCATAAGGTTCAAGCTGACTGTAGTTACAAGAATGTAACTTGGTAATTGCTATTAAAACAAATTTTGCCAAAAAAAAATTTCACCTTCAGATGCAATTCTGCCAGACTGTTCTTCATGTATGGCCCCTATGCAAAAATAGGGAAAGATAGTCCTATTGCCTAGAA